GGTGAGTCTCTATAGCAACATACTGGGTGAGTCAGGCCATCGGTCTCGCTCTCTTCCACAGGCAGCTGCTCAGTGTGTACTTCACCAGGTCCTTCTACAAACACATACTGGGTGAGTCTCTATAACAGCATACTGGGTGAGTCTCTATAGACACATAGTGGGTGAATCTCTATAACAGCATACTGGGTGAGTCTCTATAGCAACATACTGGGTGAGTCTCTATAACAGCAGTGTACTTCTCAGTGTGTACTTCACCAGGTCCTTCCACAAACACATACTGGGTGAGTCTCTATAGCTACATACTGGGTGAGTCAGGCCATCGGGCTCACGCTCTTCCATAGGCAGCTTCTCAGTGTGTACTTGACCAGGTCCTTCTACAAACGCATACTGGGTGAGTCTCTGTAACAGCATACTGGGTGAGTCTCTATAGCAACATACTGGGTGAGTCTCTATAACAGCATACTGGGTGAGTCTCTATAACAGCATACTGGGTGAGTCTATATAGCAACATACTGGGTAAGTCTATATAGCAATATACTGGGTTAGTCATGATAGACACATACTGGGTGAGTCTCTATACTAACATACTGTGTGAGTCACTATAGCCACATACTGGGTGAGTCAGGCCATCGGTCTCGCTCTCTCCCACTGGCAGCTTCTCAGTGTGTACTTCACCAGGTCCTTCCACAAACACATACTGGGTTAGTCTCTATAGCTACATACTGGGTGAGTCAGGCCATCGGTCTCGCTCTCTTCCACAGGCAGCTTCTCAGTGTGTACTTCACCAGGTCCTTCTACAAACACATACTGGGTGAGTCTCTATAGCTACATACTGGGTGAGTCAGGCCATCGGGCTCGCGCTCTTCCATAGGCAACTTCTCAGTGTGTACTTGACCAGGTCCTTCTACAAACGCATACTGGGTGAGTCTCTATAGACAGATACTGGGTGAGTCTCTATAGCAACATACTGGGTGAGTCTCTGTAGACACATACTGGGTGAGTCAGGCCATCGGTCTGTCTCTGTTCCATAGGCAGCTTCTGTGTGTACTTCACCAGGGCCCGCTTGCACAGAACGATCTTAGCGCTACAATTATTGTAATTCCTTAAGATCGCGATCTTAGGCTTCGGTTACAATCGCCATCTACTTGCACAAAGCAATTGTAGGCTAAGATCATTGTAAGTTACAATCGAAACTTACAATTGGTCCAGACCAATTGTAAGGAGGTAAGATCATTTTAGTCATTTTGGAAATGGCATTCAAATTAGTGTCTGTTTCACGCAAATAATCAGCTATACGTTTGGAGATTGCATTTATATTGCATAAAACTGTGTGGTTCGCCTCGACACTTCAACAACACGGAGAATGCACAACCGATTTAACGTCGGATACATTGTTATTTACTGTAGTGAAACACATAACTATCGAGTCGATATCACAAAGTACTATTCCCACCTCGATTCAATGTTGGAATAAGTGTGAAACAACATACCTTCTTGATAATCAAGGAAAGGATAATAGTGAATGGTGTCCGCGTCGCGATTAATCAATGGCCGTGACCTTTTCATTAACTCAAGAGCAGATAATTTTACTTTAAAACGCAAGATGGGGTGGTTTCCTTGGCATATGCCGTTGCCGTGACAGTCTGTCATGCCCATTGCAGAGCTCGACATACTGATATCTCTTTTCGGGTCATGGAGTGATTTTGTCTTAGTTTATCATTAAAGTAATCTACAAGTAGATACAAGTTAACGTGCAAAATCAAGTTTCTTTCTCATCCATAAATCTAAATTTGATTATGCAATTTAAATACATGTATCGATATATACAAGTAGTCATCAAATAGGGATATATATATGATGAGGCATTAAAATTTATGTTTCAAAAGAATTTCACTTGAAGAAAAACATTTATCAACTAATAGGGTTAAATAATTAATATACTGTGAATACTGAATTTAATAACTACTCTGTTGAAATATTATTTAATACACGTATTTCCCCTGCCATGCATTCTTTACAACACTTCTGTAGCCATTATTTTATTGTATTTTATTCTCGGATATATTTAGGATTTTACAACCACCCCACACCCCACCACCACCAACAGCTACAGATAAACAATGTCTCATTGACAACCATTGGCAAATCATACATTTAGGTGTTATATCATAAGGAAATACTGTTTATATTTGTTATTTTAAGTTCCATAATTAAGTCCTCCAATCTAGATTCAAATTTATTCATGTATTTTTTACAGATTTTCAGTATTTTCATAAAACATGGGTAGGTATTTCTGTGGTTGCAATATCACATTCTCAGTTCATAAATCAAGACAGTTAGAATGTAGAAACATATATGCTATCGATCCCACGTAATCGGTTCCTTCTAAGATTTCTGGGACTTTTCATGAAAATTCTGCAAGGTCTGCGATTGAGGGAGGTATGTGTGCTGGGACCAGTATCACTTTTTATTTATGCAGCATGCTATGCGCACTTTCAGACAACTGTAGACGGAGTCGAGTTTAAGAAATTCGTACTCCACCGTTGAAGAGTTCGATCTTAGCTAAGATCACGATCTTAAATACATGCCGCCTTACAATCGCCTAAGATCGGCTTTGTGCAAGTGGGTTAGGGCAATTGTATGGCGATTGTAAAGTTGATTGTAGGGGCCTAAGATTGATTGTAACTAAGGTTGTTCTGTGCAAGTGGGCCCAGGTCCTTCTACAAACGCATACTGGGTGAGTGTCTATAGCTACATACTGAGTGAGTCTCTATAGACACATACTGGGTGAGTCTCTATAGCAACATACTGGGTGAGTCTCTATAGACACATACTGGGTGAGTCTCTATAGACACATACTGGGTGAGTCTCTATAGACACATACTGGGTGAGTCTCTATAGACACATACTGGGTGAGTCTCTATTGCTACATATTGGGTGAGTCTCTATAGACACATACTGGGTGAGTCTCTACAAACACATACTGGGTGAGTCTCTAGACACATACTGGGTGAGTCAGGCCATCGGTCTGGCTCTCTTCCACAGGCAGCTGCTCAGTGTGTACTTCACCAGGTCCTTCTACAAACACATACTGGGTGAGTCTCTATAGACACATACTGGGTGAGTCTCTATAGCTACATATTGGGTGAGTCTCTATAGCAACATACTGGGTGAGTCTCTACAAACACATACTGGGTGAGTCTCTATAGCTACATACTGGGTGAGTCTCTACAAACACATACTGGGTGAGTCTCTATAGCAACATACTGGGTGAGTCAGGCCATCGGTCTCGCTCTCTTCCACAGGCAGCTGCTCAGTGTGTACTTCACCAGGTCCTTCTACAAACACATACTGGGTGAGTCTCTGTAACAGCATACTGGGTGAGTCTCTATAGCAACATACTGGGTGAATCTCTATAACAGCATACTGGGTGAGTCTCTATAGACACATAGTGGGTGAATCTCTATAACAGCATACTGGGTGAGTCTCTATAGCAACATACTGGGTGAGTCTCTATAACAGCATACTGGGTGAGTCTCTATAGACACATACTGGGTGAGTCTCTATAACAGCATACTGGGTGAGTCTATATAGCAACATACTGGGTAAGTCTATATAGCAATATACTGGGTTAGTCATGATAGACACATACTGGGTGAGTCTCTATACTAACATACTGTGTGAGTCACTATAGCCACATACTGGGTGAGTCAGGCCATCGGTCTCGCTCTCTCCCACTGGCAGCTTCTCAGTGTGTACTTCACCAGGTCCTTCTACAAACACATACTGGGTGAGTCTCTATAGCTACATACTGGGTGAGTCAGGCCATCGGGCTCGCGCTCTTCCACCATAGGCAGCTTCTCAGTGTGTACTTCACCTGGTCCTTCCACAAACACATACTGGGTGAGTCTCTATAGCAACATACTGGGTGAGTCTCTGTAGCAACATACTGGGTGAATCTCTACAGACACATACTGGGTGAGTCTCTACAGACACATACTGGGTGAGTCTCTATAGCAACATACTGGGTGAGTCTATAGATACATACTGGGTGATTCTCTACAGACACATACTGGTTGAGTCTACAAATACATACTGGGTGAGTCCAAAGACACATACTGGGTGAGTCTCCTACAGGCACATGCTGGGTTTGTCTCTACAGACACATACTGGGTGAGTCTCTACAAATGCATACTGGGTGAGTCTACAGTCACATACTGGGTGAGTCTACAGTCGCATACTGGGTGAGTCTACAGTCACATACTGGGTGAGTCCCCTACAGACACATACTCGGTGAGTCTACAGTCACATACTGGGTGAGTCTACAGTCACATACTGGGTGAGTCCCCTACAGACACATACTCGGTGAGTCCCCTACAGTCACATACTGGGTGAGTCCCCTACAGTCACATACTGGGTGAGTCTACAGTAACATACTGGGTGAGTCTACAGTCACATACTGGGTGAGTCCCCTACAGACACATACTGGGTGAGTCTACAGTCACATACTGGGTGAGTCTCTACAGACACATACTGGGTGAGTCTCTACAAATACAAACTGGGTGAGTCTCTATAGACACATACTGGGTGAGTCTCCTACAGGCACATGCTGGGTTTGTCTCTACAGACACATACTGGGTGAGTCTACAGTCACATACTGGGTGAGTCCCCTACAGACACATACTGGGTGAGTCTACAGTCACATACTGGTAAGTCCCCAACAGACGTATTGCCAAGAGAATCCCCTACAGACATATACTGGATGAACTACCACCAACAAACAACCAATGAGTCTCATAATAGAGAAGAGACCCGAACCTGTTGACTCCTTTGGGGTTCATTGATTCTACATCCAGAATCAGATTACAGCGATTTCTCCTTGTTAAGTTCAGCCATGTTACAATTGATATGTGATTTCTCTACTCATTTGTATAATGACTTCTAGTTGTCTCTACAGACACGTACAATCAGTCCTTCCTGACATATCCCTCTGTCTACAGGTATACCAGTCAGTTACACGGATGTAGCCTCAATAGATCCAGAGTATGCCAAAAACTTACAGGTGAGTTGCTTGTCTCCAACACTTCATAACCATTGGTCATATTCTGCTGCTCAACATGTAACATGTGGAATAAACTCACAACAGATAGAGATATCTGTCCAGTTCACTCTAACCGAGATGTAGCGGCTGCAGGAGAGGTCATGTGTGTGTGAGGCCTCATCAGTACAGAAATAACAGTACACAATATGAAAAGGATAAAGGTGAAATATCACAATGTTCTAGGGGCTCTTTTATTGAACAAAAGTCGTTCAAATTAATTCTATGAGAGTGATATAGTTTCAGTATTTAACACAACTTATAGAGAGTCAATGTTAGAGCCATGTTCAATCATTATATTGGATTCTCCATGTTCAGTTCAGGCACAATGCTTTTATCTCCCAAGTTGACAGGAATTAGGTGACCATTGCCATGAAGTGAATGTATAAAGCATGGCTGCCATTTCAGTGGATCCTGGATCATGACATCAGTCAGCTTGGCCTTGACCTTACATTCTCCGTGGAAACAGATGTGTTCGGCGTTCTCCAGGAAGTAGACCTCAAACCAGGGGGCAGCACTCTTCCTGTCACAGACGCCAACAAGGTCAGAGTCATACCAGTCTGTTTAGGCACTGTCCAGACCTCATTGCTTTATACTGTATTGTCTTCTTTAATTGGATTTTTTAGCTTTGCTCGCTAGTTTTATATTCATATCTGTGATTCTCTAGTAGTTTTACTGTCCATCGTCGGCAGGTTTTAATCTTCCAAACGTTTTCACCTTTTATTGTCTGGATTGTTCTCGTCACTATATTGCTGAGATATTGCCGATGTGACGTTAAATAATAACTCACTCACTCACTCACTAGACCTCATTGCAAGTTGCAACATATTCAGTGAGTTTTGGAGACAAAAAGGAAGCAACACTTGATGGTCCATTACTGCACGTCAAATTTAGTTTGATAGCCAATTGTCTACCTTGTCCTAGGCACTTAAATCCACTATGAAGGGTATATGCTTTTGCCCTGTAAGTATTGGTTTATCAAGTTTGATACATTTGCCTGTAAGGCCCAAATTAGAAAAGGAAATGTGAATGGATCATTTTGAATCTCATTGTTAAATGGGTTTCCCAGGTCTGAATTCAGTTTATGTGTAGGGTTGTCCCTGATTCGATTCCTTTGAAGGGAACTATGTGTGAAGCATTTCTGGCATCATCTGTCCAGATATTGCTGGAATATTGCTAAAAGCAGCATAAAACTTGATTCACTCTCATTCTCATGTCTAGCTGATAGCCTGTTACTAGGAGCATTAAACGCAATTCACTCACTTTGTACAAGAATTTGATGGTAATGTAGACAGCTCTCATCCCTTTGCCAGTTCCAGATGTATAGAATCAAGATGCTATTCTAGTCACATATACTGAAATATTGTCTGTATTTAATTGTCTCAAAAACAAACAGATTTAGTAATGATCTCCATGATAATGTTCTACTGTAGGCTGAGTACGTCCAGCTAGTTACGGAGCTACGCATGACACGGGCCATCATGCCCCAGATCAACAGCTTCCTGTCTGGTTTCCATGACTACATTCCACACAGCCTTGTACAACTCTTTGATGAGTATGAACTGGTAGGTGCTTGGTTTTACTGACTTTACTAAATATTTCTGAGATGGTGAGGTAGGTAAGTAGTTAAGATGTTGCTTTAACTGAAGTGCAGGGCTTAATTTCCCAGGAGTGCAATGGATGTCAAGTTCATTTCTTGTGTAACCTGCAGTTTTATTGGTTGAATATTAGTGAATACCCTATTAACTCACTTTCTTTCTATATGGTTTTGGGGCGGTGGGGTAGCCCAGTGGTTAAAGCGTTGGCACGTTATGCCGAAGACCCGGGTTCGATTCCCCACATGGGCACAATGTGTTAAGCCCATTTCTGGTGTCCCCCGCCGTGATATTGCTGGAATATTGCTAAAAGCGGCGTAAAACTAAACTCAGTCAGTCAGTCTATATGGTTTTATTAGAATTTTGGTTGATGTAGATAGATTTGATTTTTTTATTGTGCAGATTTGAAGAATTAGTTATTTACCAATTGTTGTATATATCAAGAGAAATATAATTGTAGATATGAGAGGTTTTATTGCTCATTTTATAGTGTTTTGATGGGCTGAATGTGTGTTGTAGGAGCTGCTAGTGTCAGGTCTTCCTGACATCGACCTGTATGAACTGTGTTGTGATGGTCTGAATGTCTGTTGAAGGATCTGCTAGTGTCAGGTCTTCCTGACATCGACCTGTATGAACTGTGTTGTGATGGTCTGAATGTGTGTTGAAGGATCTGCTAGTGTCAGGTCTTCCTGACATGGACCTGTATGAACTGTGTTGTGATGGTCTAAATGTCTGTTGAAGGATCTGCTAGTGTCAGGTCTTCCTGACATTGACCTGTATGAACTGTGTTGTGATGGTCTGAATGTCTGTTGAAGGACCTGCTAGTGTCAGGTCTTCCTGACATGGACCTGTATGAACTGTGTTGTGATGGTCTAAATGTGTGTTGAAGGATCTGCTAGTGTCAGGTCTTCCTGACATGGACCTTTATGAACTGTGTTGTGATGGTCTAAATGTGTGTTGAAGGACCTGCTAGTGTCAGGTCTTCCTGACATGGACCTGTATGAACTGTGTTGTGATGGTCTGAATGTCTGTTGAAGGATCTGCTAGGAGGTCTGCTAGTGTCAGGTCTTCCTGACATGGACCTGTATGAACTGTGTTGTGATGGTCTAAATGTGTGTTGAAGGATCTGCTAGTGTCAGGTCTTCCTGACATGGACCTGTATGAACTGTGTTGTGATGGTCTGAATGTGTGTTGAAGGACTGCTAGTGTCAGGTCTTCCTGACATGGACCTGTATGAACTGTGTTGTGATGGTCTGAATGTGTGTTGAAGGACCTGCTAGTGTCAGGTCTTCCTGACATGGACCTGTATGAACTGTGTTGTGATGGTCTAAATGTGTGTTGAAGGATCTGCTAGTGTCAGGTCTTCCTGACATGGACCTGTATGAACTGTGTTGTGATGGTCTGAATGTCTGTTGTAGGATCTGCTAGTGTCAGGTCTTCCTGACATGGTCTGTATGAACTGTGTTGTGATGGTCTGAATGTCTGTTGTAGGATCTGCTAGTGTCAGGTCTTCCTGACATGGACCTGTATGAACTGTGTTGTGATGGTCTGAATGTCTGTTGAAGGATCTGCTAGTGTCAGGTCTTCCTGACATGGACCTGTATGAACTGTGTTGTGATGGTCTGAATGTCTGTTGTAGGAGCTGCTAGTGTCAGGTCTTATGAACCTGACATGTCTGTTGTACCTGTATGAATCTGTGTCTGTGATGGTCTAAATGTCTGTTGTAGGACCTGCTAGTGTCAGGTCTTCCTGACATCGACCTGTATGAACTGTGTTGTGATGGTCTGAATGTCTGTTGTAGGATCTGCTAGTGTCAGGTCTTCCTGACATGGACCTGTATGAACTGTGTTGTGATGGTCTGAATGTCTGTTATAGGAGCTGCTAGTGTCAGGTCTTCCTGACATTGACCTGGAAGACTGGAAGGCTAACACAGGCTATACTGGCTACTCAGTGGACTGTATAGTTATACAGGTAAATTATACAATTAAGCTGTATAAAATCATTTCTGCTTTCTTAAGACGTTATAAACCAACTATAGGTCATTTTACTGTCATTGTATTCACAAGCCAGTAAGCTTAATTTAGAAGGGGCGGTGAGGTAGCCTGGTCGTTGAAGCGTTAACTTGTCATGATGAAGGCCCGAGTTCGATTCCCCACATGGGTACAAAGTGTGAAGCCCATTTCTGGTGCCCCCCACCGTGATAGTGCTGGAATATTGCTAAAAGCGGCGTAAAACCGTATTAACTCACACACTCTTAAGTTAGAAGCTGAGAGACCTAGAATGTAACACTGTCTGTGATGTAAGTCATGATATGCAGACCACTGTTTCTAGTTGTGATGTTCTGTTGTCCAGTGGTTCTGGGAGGTGATGGGAGACTTCACGATGCAGGAGAGGGTCCTCATGCTGCAGTTTGTCACCGGCAGGTCAGTGGAACGTTTACGGAAATACTCATCAACATCAACGTCAACATCCACATTATTGAAACTAAATGTCTGTCCATCCATCCATCCTTCCCTGTCTGTCAGTTTCTCATTGAGGATGGGTTTTCTCCATTCTCTTCCCACAGAGGTTACTTGTCATATCTTCCTACGAACCTCTGTTCTAATACGGCCCTTTCATGGTGCGAGTGTTCAGAATTCGTGATTCGTTGCAATCAGATTTAGTTGTGCAATCAGCGACGTTGTTTCAAAAGTGATCATTCGCAAGGACTCAGTAATTTTCGTATGCTTCGGAAAAACTGGAACCTCTTCCCCTGTGCGATACGCAAACATTACTTCTAGACAGAACTCAGTCATGTAATGGCGGATCAATGGCGTCACCATCGCCCTCGTTGACAACTGACAAGCTTGCCATTACATGTCTTGTGTGTCACATCAACACAAGTCCCCGGCAGAGAAGAGGGATATTTGAGGCCCCATGTTTATTTGCATCGATATAACACGTGTTCTGATTGGATAGAAAGAAGGGAGGTAATTCGTGTTGCGATTTTTTGCCGCTAGGGGATTTTACGAGAACCGGGAAATATGGCCGTATTAGAACAGAGGTTCGTAGGAAGATATGACAAGTAACCTCTGTGGGAAGAGAATGGGGTTTTCTCATGAACTATTGTTAACTGGAATTTTACGCACTGATGTAACTGGTCAAGGTTAAATGATATTGAAAACTGGCTATGGCCTCTGTTCCATGGGTTCCAAGGGGACTGTTTTTCTCAAAAACTACTGGTACTCGTTTCTTGTTGCGCTGGTGCTGCTCTTTTGTGATACAAACAAATCTGAAGTGAGGTGAAGTTGGGTTTAACGTCGTACTTGAGAATATTTCGCTCATATAACGACGTGCATGCGTGTGTATGTGTATGTGCAGCTGCTTGTACTAGCCCAGACTTAAGCTGGTTTTATAGTGCTAGCCCACTGAGATACCATGCCGCAGTGAAGCATGAATACCCCACTCAGACACATTATACTGACTCCGAGCCGACCAGTCCTTGTTGTACACATTAATGCCGAGCGCCAGGCAGAGACCAACAAGTACCATATTTCACCGTCTTTTGGTATGACGCTGTCGGGGATCAAACCCGCGACCTTCCACTCTCTGGGCGGACGCTCTAACCACTACACCACAGAGGTGGTCCAAACAAGTCGGAAGTTTGTGGCCCTCAGATAGGATTATTGTCCTTTATGGAAGTTTATGGCCATGGAACTTTAACATTGTGGATGAGATGCTGAATACCGCAGGCTGACCATACATGTATTGTCATACGATAAGGTGCTGCCTGACAGTGAATATATTTTTAACATGCTTTAAGTTAGTCAAGACTTGACCCTTGGATGATTGCCTGTGATATGCTGCCTGGTTGTTGTACTACAATACAGTTATATAACTAGACATTGAATAAAGGGGTGTGGACCCTCTGATGAACTCCAGTATTTGAAGAGACATTATCCAAACATAACAGGAATATTATTTATGAGCAGATGCAACACATCATCATGAAAGTACCATTTTGACTGATATGTGTTTAGATTTGTGGTTGTTTTCTCCAGCTCCAGAGTGCCGTATGGTGGATTTGCCAACCTTAGCAGCAGTGGCAGTCACCAGCAGTTTACCATCAGCCATGTACCTTACACAGCTGGTAAACTCCCCACAGCATCCACATGGTGAGTATGATACCAGCAGTTTACCATCAGCCATGTACCTTACACAGCTGGTAAACTCCCCACAGCATCCACATGGTGAGTAAGATACCAGCAGTTTACCATCAGCCATGTACCTTACACAGCACAGCTGGCTGGTAAACTGCCCACTGCATCCACATGGTGAGTAAGATACCAGCAGTTTACCATCAGCCATGTACCTTACACAGCTGGTAAACTGCCCACAGCATCCACATGGTGAGTAAGATACCAGCAGTTTACCATCAGCCATGTACCTTACACAGCTGGTAAACTCCCCACAGCATCCACATGGTGAGTAAGATACCAGCAGTTTACCATCAGCCATGTACCTTACACAGCTGGTAAACTCCCACAGCATCCACATGGTGAGTAAGATACCAGCAGTTTACCATCAGCCATGTACCTTACACAGCTGGTAAACTGGTAAACCCCACAGCATCCACATGGTGAGTAAGATACCAGCAGTTTACCATCAGCCATGTACCTTACACAGCTGGTAAACTCCCACTGCATCCACATGGTGAGTAAGATACCAGCAGTTTACTATCAGCCATGTACCTTACACAGCTGGTAAACTCCCACAGCATCCACATGGTGAGTAAGATACCAGCAGTTTACCATCAGCCATGTACCTTACACAGCTGGTAAACTGCCCACAGCATCCACATGGTGAGTAAGATACCAGCAGTTTACTATCAGCCATGTACCTTACACAGCTGGTAAACTCCCCACTGCATCCACATGGTGAGTAAGATACCAGCAGTTTACTATCAGCCATGTACCTTACACAGCTGGTAAACTGCCCACTGCATCCACATGGTGAGTAAGATACCAGCAGTTTACCATCAGCCATGTACCTTACACAGCTGGTAAACTCCCCACAGCATCCACATGGTGAGTAAGATACCAGCAGTTTACCATCAGCCATGTACCTTACACAGCTGGTAAACTCCCCACAGCATCCACATGGTGAGTAAGATACCAGCAGTTTACCATCAGCCATGTACCTTACACAGCTGGTAAACTCCCCACTGCATCCACATGGTGAGTAAGATACCAGCAGTTTACTATCAGCCATGTACCTTACACAGCTGGTAAACTCCCCACAGCATCCACATGGTGAGTAAGATACCAGCAGTTTACCATCAGCCATGTACCTTACACAGCTGGTAAACTCCCCACAGCATCCACATGGTGAAGTAAGATACCAGCAGTTTACCATCAGCCATGTACCTTACACAGCTGGTAAACTCCCCACAGCATCCACATGGTGAGTAAGATACCAGCAGTTTACCATCAGCCATGTACCTTACACAGCTGGTAAACTCCCCACAGCATCCACATGGTGATGGTGAGTATCCACATGGTGACCAGCAGTTTATACCTGCCATTCTAGACAACAAACAAAACAGGAGAGGTGGAGTAGCCTAATGGTTAAAGCGTTCACTTGTCACACCGAAGACCTGGGTTCGATTCTCCACATGGGTAAAATTTGTGAAGCCTATTTCTGGTGACCCCTCTGTGATCTTGCTGGAATATTGCTAAAAGCAGCATAAAACTAACCTCAGTCACTCACAAGACAAACAAAACGAAAAATTCATCCACTGGCACAGATAAGTACAAAGATAAGCTAATTTCCTTTCCAATGCATTCTTGCTCCTGAAAATATATTCGGTTCTTTTCTTCTTCCAGTATCAACCTCCTGAAACTGGCTGAATATCCGACAAAAGAAGAATTGAAAAGATGCTTGTTGATAGCTCTTCAGTGTGGAAGTCAAGGATATGGCCTTGTCTGATGATAGCTCTTCAGTGTGGAAGTCAAGGACATGGCCTTGTCTTATGATAGCTCTTCAGGGTGGAAGTCAAGGATATGGCCTTGTCTGATGATAGCTCTTCAGTGTGGAAGTCAAGGACATGGCCTTGTCTGATGATAACTCTTCAGGGTGGAAGTCAAGGACATGGCCTTGTCTGATGATAGCTCTTCTGTGTGGCCGGATGATCTCATAAAGCAATCAGCAAGCCATAAATCCTCCTCTCGAGGCCACTCATCAGAATCTGACCATGGGACTTGAGGCATTGTATAAGTGTATAAAACTACACACTGGTCAGAGGATTAAGTCCAGATCTCTACAAATGTTGAAACTGACCAAATTTTGGAACTGTTGCTACAACTTTAAGCAGCAGGATTGATAATCAGAGTCAGCCTTTTGCCAAGACAAGGTCCAGAGCAACTGCTGAAAAATAGCCTTGGCCTCGATTGGAGAATTTCGGTAGATCAATACATATCACTTTCGCCTTTCCAGACCACTACACCCTGTGCTGCCTTTGACACTCTGACATCATGAATCGCTTTGCTGCACTGGATGTGTGTGTTGTTGGCAACGTATTTATCACTTGAGTCCAAATTGTGTATTGCGTCCTGTGTATCAGAAATAGTTGACTACAGGCGGTGATGCTGGTTTTATTCTGAAAAGTCTGTGTTCTAATAAACAGGTGTTCTCAACAAAAAAACTAAACTAAGGGGTTTCACTGGAATAGAGTTGACAATATTTTCAGTTTGTGCTATGGTGCATAAGACAGAACCTTTTTACATGAATGATAAAGTATGATAAGAATTCCCCTTTTCTGGCCTAAATGTGAAACTAAAGAAATACTGAAAACTTTAAAATAGTGATCAGAAAGTTATTGAATATGTTTATATGATAGACATCTGGTGTCTTTAAAACTGCAAGAATTTGGAGTATGGTTAAAATAAGTTAAAAAGGCACGTTTATTAATATTTCTAGATAAAATCTAACAATGAGCAAGTCTGGTACTGAAGAGGGACTACATGTTTGTACTATGTTAATCAACATCCAAGGAAAGCAGCTTCATGCAATGTTCTTGTTCAGTGTATAAAATCCCTCTAAATTCAGTGTTTTAATCACATTTTATCTTTATCATTACAAAACATGTCAGTGTTGATATGAACCAATCTAATTCTCTTTAAAATGAACACACATTCGAACCCCTTGGTGTTGAACTTGTCTCTGTCAAATACCTGGTTGTGTCAAAACCCACAAAAATCATAATACATGTATTTTACCACTATTTTAACATTGTTTTCATCAGACTCCATCAAAACACCAAGATTTAAAATAACTTAAATTACCCTGGTATGTCTAACACCAAATACTTTCAAAGCACATGTAAGATTTTATATAATTTAAAATAAAAAAATACATATTTTATGTAGATATGACAAATGCGTCTGCTTCAGTTTTTATTCCTTGTTCTATGTTATTTAAAATCCATGGACACTGTTGTATATTTGCTTTTTGTTGTTTGATGTCTGGGAGGTGTTGAACACCAGCTAAAGATTGTATCTACCTTACAACATAGGCGTACAACCATGATAGCGTTTAGTGGCTTTAAGCTTACGTGTTGAACACCAGCTAAAGATTGTATCTCCCTTACAACATAGGCGTACAACCATGATAGCGTTTAGTGGCTTTAAGCGTGTTGAGCATCAGATAAGTGGATCAATTTATTGGAGCCATGTGTACAAAATGATCATTTTCGTGTTTAGATAGGTGAGGTGAGGTGAAATTGGGTTTAATGTCGTGCTTGAGAATATTTCGCTCATATGACGACGTTGTTTAGATAGCTTTATGGATGAGCTCCAACAAACTCAAGGAGTTTGAGAGTTTGAGTTGGACTTTAGCAGATAACTGTCATAACAACTTCAAATACTGGTAACAGCTTTATGTGTTTTCTTAATTTATGCAAACCATTAAATTCAGGAAGGACCCTTATTTTTACCTCATTCTGTAGTAAAAACCAACTCCTATTTTTTTATTAAATTCTATTTTGTAAAATGTAAAATTACTAATTAAGAGTAATAAACTGAGTTGGGGTTGTTCTATTTAATCGCTGTCATCTGTATCTACATTATATTAGGTATGTGTAACCCAGTTGTCTGATGTGCTTCAATTCTCTAAGAATAGAGTTGCGTCCCTTTGGCATGCCAGGAACCTGTTATTTTTCAGTGTTCAAATCCTTGTTTGCCCTGGATATGTTTCTATGTTTCTCAGCGCCTTACCAGTGGCCATAGGTTCACGGATGTGGTCAATGTCGGAGGCCTTCATCTCATCATCCTTTCTTCGCACAATAACTTGGTGTTGCCGTAATATAACTGGAATATCGTTCAAAACAAAGTCATAACTCACTCTGTATAATAGTTTTGTCACTCACCCAAGTAGTTTGTCTGACTTAAAGTCTTGAAAATTCCAAAACTGTAAATAGTTCTATGCCCCTCCGGAACTGAGAGCATTGGTAACTATGACGATGATGAGGTATTACACCCTTTATCTCTGTGATATGTTTGATGTTTTCGTCCTCGAATTATTTTAATCATTTTTTTAAACTTTACATTCAGAATATTTTTATCTTTGTTACATTGTTGCCCATGATTTCATTTTAATCAATGTGATGACATAATAGATCTTAGCTTCCATGTGTTATATTTCTTGTGTTTGCATCATTTAATGTTCTAAGTTTTAACCGATCTTTGAACCCTGATCTATGATGTTCATTGTCTTTTGTGTTCATCCCCGCCTCATTGTCATTGTGTATTTTAACTGCAGATGTGTTAGCTGATGTATCTCTCCTTTTCAGTCTAAGTATACTAAGGCTCAGTATTATTCGTTACACTGCTATCTACTGAGTCTAACAAACCCTAGTAGAAGGTTGCGTCAGCTAACCATTTGGACTGACCAATCAGCACACAGCTTACCAAATTGCGAAAGTTAACATTCGCACATACCGTTTGAACCTTTACCTCAAAAGCTTGAACGATTCCGAATGCTATATTCTGCACGATCGCTTCCGCATGATACACATGGAGGACGCAATGAGTAAACAGTCGCTGAAAATAGCTTTTGGGTCAATATTCAAGGATGTCTTTTTGCGAAAATATAAGCAAATAGTAACCATGTCATTAGAAACCCATAAGTGTATATACTGCAGGTCAAATATCTGTTTTATGAGGTTTTTCGTTTGTTGATAGATCAGTGTCAGCGGCCAGGGAAGAGAAACTCCAAAACAATTTTGTAAGTCCCTCCGAACGCTAACAAGTAGTCGTTGTCTGATTGGTTAAATCCGTTTGGCTGTCACGTGTTTGATTGGACGGTCATAGGTTGCACAAAGGTTATCTGACGCGACCTTCCACAAGGTTTTGTTAGACTCAGTATTGCAGTGTAACGAATAATACTGAGTCTAAGTTTACTTAGACTGCTCTCCTTTTCATTTAGGATTTGGCATGTAATATGTTTGTTTGTTTATTGTTTAAATGCCACACTCAGCAATATCCCAGCTATATGACATAGGTCTGTAAAGAATCGAGTGTGGACCAGACAATCGTGTTTTGACACCATGAACATCGATCTACGCCATTGGGATACGATGCCATGTGTCAACCAAGTCAGCGAGTCTGACCACCCAATCCCGTCAGTCGCCTCTTACGACAAGCATGGGTTACTGAAGATCAATTCTAACATGAATCCTCATGGGTAGCATGTAAAATGTCTACACTTTGCAAATTAACTTCAATTTAAAGTATACTTTCGTTCCTTGGATTCAAACTTTAACCTCATTGTTTGCTACCAAACAAGTTCTGTTTGTAAACCTGTAAGTCCATTTTCTGTAATGTTGTTCATAATTTTATTACTTGCATAATACTATGATAATTCAGAGATATAGTTACAGATATAGTTACAGTATTAGGTATGCATTATTTATATATTTTTATGCAGTATTATACAGTATATTGTATAGCCTCAAAAAGGCTTCCAGTGTGTATGTAGTTAATTTATTAAATTTTCACATATGTGATTATTTACAAAACTGAATGTTAAGAGTGCAGGGGTTAGATATATTTTGTGTGATAGTGCCAATCTGGAAACTAATGTGCCAAGCTTATACTTTCTTTGCTAATAATGGAAACCATATATTTTGCACTGAAGCTTATTACCTCAAACATTAAGATGAACAGTAGGGTGCAACAAATACACTGTGAGGCAAACATGATTACCCATCACGAGTATATGCCAACGAATACAACTATTTTTGACAAAAACCATAACACGTCACCAGCTTATGTATTACCGGTATTCATTATTTTCAGTGAAATATTATCAAAATACATTCTGTTCTGCCCGTATTGATACTGCTACTTTGTCTTGGCAGTTACTGTCAAATGAAATATGTAAGAGTGTTGACTATTATCCTGCCTGGCTTGGATGTATTCCATTTTGCCTATCTTGGTTTAATATAAACTGACAAATTCAAGTTAACAACACTCTTTTTTTTTCTTGTGATCATGAAAAACAAACTGAATTCAGGAATGAATCCAGTTTGATTCACTGACTGAATCATAATAGCCTTTATGAACAGTGGGAGTTTCTGATTGGATGAATTTGTTAAGACCTTGACCTTGACCTTGATTGATATGAATTTAATCCTGTGTTATCCCAGAGACCATATAATAGCAACTGTAGTTAAAAAGTTACAATTTGAACTCTCTTGTCTTTACGAGAAAAGGTTTCCTTCCTAAAGCAGGTTGGCACGCTTTATAAGACTGAAATACTGTTCAACTTATGAAAATCAAATCATACTCTCTGACAGACACTCTATCACTGGGACACTACTATCTTGCTTCTGTGTGAATATTCATGATGTTCATGAAATCTTGATTAATAATCTTTAGTGATAAAATCCCAGCATAATTCCATGAGTTGTGGCATTAGCTGTTCCAGCACTACAGATTTCTATCATCCCCCTCAGCGTCATGGGTGGCCAAGTTGTTTTCCGGAGCCCTGTTTCTCTGTGCAGGGTGGTGGGGTAACCTAGTGGTTAATGCGTTCGCTCTTCATGCTGAAGGCACGGGTTCGATTCCTCACATGGGTACAATGTGTGAAGCCAATTTCTGGTGTCCCTCGCAGTGATATTGCTGGAATATTTGCTAAAAGCTGCATACAACCAAACTCACTCACTCACTAACTTATTTCTCTGTGCAGAGTTGTTTCCCTTTGATGCACCAGGAGCCTGTGAAAGTGGCTAGAATCTCAGATAGCCCAGTGTGTATGTTGGTTTGTCAGCACCATAAACATCTGCATCACAGTGGGCTCTCCATCCACATCAGGCTGCCAGGCTGTGATATAACTGTTGAAAGATGGTTTTAAACCAGACTCACCCATGACTGTATAGTAGTGGTGGTCCGATTAATTGAAATAATCGAAGATTGGTCACAGTGGCCAAACGACCAAGCAATCGATCACATTTTCTCATAATCGAACACAAACGATTTTGGAACCGCTGTAATAGAGTTTGAAATACTTGATGATGGAACATATCTAGGACGTTGTCAGGGCCTGAAAACGTGTTTATTTCTAAGAAAACTCACTTCACTTTCTGAAAAGTCATGACTGAATATTTCTTGAAGAATCTGGGAAGTTAATGTTACACTGGAACTGAATCATTTTACACTGGATGTGAAATCTGCAAATGTAATTTGTGCAGTTTCTAAAAACAACAACAGAGAACCAAATGTTTTTTTTCTTTATACTTATCTGCAACTGCAACCTAAATAGGAAAATCTAAAAAATGACGCTAACCAATTTTTTTTCGATGATTGGTCGTTGGTATTGAACCAATCATCAATTGTGAGATTTCAACCAATTCCCAACACTACTGTATAGTAGACTTTGTTTTACCATATGGAGTTCAACTCTGATTACATTAAACATCTTGGCAGGTATCACTGGATGCTGTCTTCATTACTCTGTATATCACTGATGGGAATTGAATTGCTCTGTAGCCTAAGCTTTAAGTTGAGGTTGGGGCGGTGGGGTAGCCTAGTGGTTAAAGCGTTGGCTCGTCACGCCGAAGACCCGGGTTCGATTCCCCACATGGGCACAATGTGTGAAGCCCATTTCTGGTGTCCCCCACCGTTATATTGCTGGAATATTGCTAAAAGCGGCGTAAAACTAAACTCAGTCAGTCAGTCAGTTAAGTTGAAGTACCTTGAAAACAACTCCCTTCATTCATCTTCTATGATGATGGTGATTTGGAGATTTTATGAGCGTTTTCCGAAGCGTATTTCATGCACGGTCTTCGAGTATGACCCAAACATTCCTTTCTGTGCTCCTATCTAAGTGAGATAACTGTACTTACACAGTCTGTGCCAAATATTTTTGAGTCAACTTATCCAAACTTTCAGCTGATTTTAGTGTTTTAACACAGTATCATTAGATGAGCTCTCTAGACAGAAATATACAACACACAGCCTTTGGACTAGTTGCTAAGGTAACAGACTGTGGATTTTAAGGCTATATTCAGAGATGCCAACCACTCCGATTTTGGCGGAGTTACTCCGATTTTCAAATACAAAATCTTCTCTCCGATTTCTCTTTGAAAAAAAAATTTTCTGGAAAAAATTCTGAATTTATTTTTACAGTATACAATTTCATCACCAGTGATTTATTTGAGTGAACACTGGTAAAAGCATTCAGCAGCTTAGTGTGTGATCCTTTGGGTGTCGATTGTGTATATTGCGTGTTATTGACGATGAAGTTTCACAAAGTTTTTTCCGTATGCATGTCATAGTCCGTATGGAAGTGAAACAAAATGGCAGAGCCGACCACACGCTCACCCCCAACTCTCACCTTTGGTGCTCAGGGCTGGCTTTCAGTCATGACTCCGTTTTCCTTAGATTCAGGGTTTTCCTTAGATTCAGGGTTGGCATCTCTGCTATATATTTTTTAAACAAGATGTGATTTTCAGTCAGTATTTTGGAAATGGCACACATTCATACATTCGGACCTGTTAGATCTGTTGATAGGATGAAAGTTTCCTTCATTTAGTTTCATCATTTCATATTTCTCTGTATCAGTTGAAACATTTTATTTCCCTCTTTAGGTTGCATTTTTGTGTGCTTCCCCTCCCCAGGGAGTGGTTCCCCTAACATTCCATGCCTTTAGTTGCCTAATTTGGTTTAACTTAGTTTGTCCCATTATTTTGTGTTTCCCTCAAAGTTGCCTTTGCATTATCTCATGCCTGTCTACAGTTTCTCCATCAAACAATTAATGTTGTTGATAGCATACATGTTATAACAATATTTTTTCCATGATGTACATCTTAGTCAAAATGAGGACAATGAACTAAGGTCATAATGAACTACAATTTGTGGTCCATGTATAATTACTGTCATTTACTGTTTTTCAAACATGTACCTACTTACTGTGAATTGATGTATGATAAAAACAGCTTAAAGCAAGATTGTTTCATGTCCTACATATTACATGTAGCCATTTAAAGGCACAGTGTCACACCACACTTCTCTCAATAATACTAATACTATCAGCTACCATATAATTCATTCCAAAAACAACTCATGATTGAAACATGGCAAACACTGACAACACTGCATGCGACAGTTTCGATGTACAGAGCAGTTGTTTAACATTCCATTATGGCAAGTCAAAGTTCACTGTTGACCGCCTCCGTGGTGTAGTGGGTAGAGCGTCTGTCTGGAGAGTGGAAGGTTGCGGGTTCGATCCCCGACCACGTCATACCAAAAGACGTTAAAATATGGTACTTGTTGGTCCCTGCCTGGCGCTCAGCATAATGAGTACAATGGACTGGTCGGCTCGGAGTCAGTATAATGTGTCTGAGTGGGGTAT